TTAGTTTGTCTGCCTCCAAGTCCATAGGTGAGTCTAGAACCAGATGCTCAACCTTTTTGAGGTTCAGTTTCCCCATCTACAAAATAGGAACAACATTGTGATTTCATGTGTATCCATTCCATTTGTAGCCCTCCTATCCCCCCACCCCACCTCTGCAAAGAGGTGCTATCTGGCCATCAGAAGGGAAATAATGCTAAGAGCTTCCATAAAAAGGAGCCAGATGCAAACCCCTCCTAGTTCCTGCAAGCCTGGAATCTCAGAGCATCCCTGGGAAGTGGCTGGTTCTTTCTCAGAAACCTCCAATTTCCAAAGCCTTGGTTTCTGGAGTTCACATTCCTGCCCTTGATTCAGAGAGGGACTCTTTGCCTCTCTGGACTTTGCCTCCTGTCGTAAATTTTTAAATTAGATTTATTCATCTTATTTTGTGAGTCTTTGGCTTACATATATGTGTGTTTGTGTGTGTGCATGTGTGTGTGTGTGTGTGTGTGTGTATGTGTATGCACATGTGCTCACATGCACACATTGGAGAACATGTACCATTGAGTGTGTTTGGTGCCCACCAAGGTTAGAAGAAGATATCAGATCCTCTGGAACTGAAGTTATAGATGGTGGTAAATCCCTATGTGGGGGCTGGAAATTGAACTTGGGTCCATTTCAGGAGCAACAAGTGCTCTTAACCACTGAGCCATCTCTTTACACCACCACTCCCCCTTATGTATTTTTAACAGGTGGACTAGAAGTCTCCAAACTTCTTCTGGCTAGGAACTACCACAGTTTGCTATGATGTACCCTACCTGCCAGCTACAGGCATAGCCCCAAAGAGCAATAGGGAGTGCATCATGCTGTCTTTGGTATGTCTCCCAATGCTATACCCCAACACAGACTGAAGCACAGGGGCCTCCAATGGGAGTGAGGAGCTCCAGGCCCAGGGTCACGTGCTAAAAGCAGAGCTTCTGTTTGGGCTGTACATCTTTGCTCATATAATAACACCACATCAGGATTAAGAGGTTATGAAGGGTCTCAAACTGTGGCCTGTGTGACAGTGACTATGACAAATGATTTTACAGAGACTACATTTCATACAAGAACCTAAGCACTGCCTGACTGTAGCAAGCCCAGGAAGGCTTCCTGGAGGCAGAGTTTGAGGAAATCCTGGAGTCAGACACTGCGGCGGGGGTGGGGGGGGTGGATGGACTGAAGTCTCCTTGCAGAAGTGACGTCCTTCCCAAGATACACAGGGATATTATCCTGATGCCCAAGGCCTGGGAGTTTCTCAGATGTGGCTCAGTCTTCCTGCCATCTTCCCAAAGTGCAAGACCAGGCCTGGTACCTTCCCCAAACTTCTGTTTCCTCTCCTGGTCCAGTTCCTTCCAGAGCTGTGAGAACACATATCCATCTCCTAGAGCACTCAGGTTGAGTATTCCTTTCCCTGTGACCTTGAGCACACACCTAGGCCTCCATATCCCCTTCTTAACCAGGGCTTTGAACCTGAGTATCTGCAAGCACCCCCCCCCAGTCCCCACATGACAAATTGGCACTTTAATGCTGTTGATAACCAGGCTTGCTTTCCCCCCTCAGCCAGTCCCTTCTCTTAAGAGCAGAGGCTGACACCTGGAAATAGTATAAACTGGTTCGTCCAGCCTAGAATGCCTGCCCAACCCTGTGGCATGGGCTCTGGGCCCTCCAAACATTCCTGCCCTTTTCCTTTAGCTTCACAAACTATATTGGCTACCTGCTGTGTTTCTATCTAGCTTAAGGACACAGGCCTCCCTTCTGCACTAGCCTGGGGACAGACCAACCCTGTAGGCCCACTGGAATAAGGGGGAGGGGGATAGCAAGGTTACAGGAAGGGAGGAGCAGAACTGCTGGCAGAAGCCAGAACAAGCCCTTCCCAACAGAGGCAGCTCCCATGCTGGCAGCCCTCCAGCCTCCAGAGCTCTCACAGTGTGCCAAAGCGATTTGTCCAAACACACGAGGCTTACCACCTCACTGCTGCCTCCCACCCACCCCCCCCCCCATGCTCTCTGGAGTTCCTGCTGACCTCTGAACCAAGCCTCTAGGAACCCAGTACCCCAGCCGGTAGGGTTTCTCTGTAGCAGCCCCTGTAGACTTGTTGTTTCCCCCCTTTATCCAGCCTCCTAGCCTTTACTCAAGCTTCTGCAGAACCAGGAAGCCTAGCCCTTGCCACCATCCTGTCCAAACTCTGATGGCCTGGAAGAGCCAGCTAAAGAATCCAGCAGTCACTACTCCAGCCTGCTGTGTCCTCAGGCCCATGGGTGCCTCTGTACAGAGAATTGTCATTTCCTTCCCAGACTCCCAGTCCTCCTCCCCACCACCATCACTGGTTTTCATTCTGTCTTCTTTTTGTCCATGGAGCAAGACCAAGGAGTGTTCTTCCTTTCCAAGTATTGGGGATGGCCAACTAGAATGATTCTTATGTGGCTGAGGTTGGAAATGGGTAATAATCAAGTTGGATCCACTCTTTGCAAATTAAGTTCATCCTTTCTGGGATCAGCTTGCATTTTCTCTTATACCTGGATTCTCCAAGCTACGGGAAAGTTCTTCAACTGTTTTCCTTCCACTCCTGACACAGCAGCCATGGCTGGCTACTCAGACTGTACACTGTACAACTCCCAGCACTGCCAGTCACCATGTTGTGATGACCCGGAGTCAGGGACCACAACAACCCCAGGACCCAAACCCCATCTCTTCCCTCAGCAGCTGGGCTACTGGCCAGTTTTCAGAGGAATCCCCACACAAATCAGGAAGCAGGTCCCTCATGGTCAGGATTTCCCACAACCTCTACACAAGGCCTCCAACCTCCCTTTATTCTAGTCTCACCTCTCAGAATGAGGCCTGATCCTTCTACCTTTTAGTCTGCAGGTGGTAATAGTGTGCCACCCTCCTCTCCTGTGCATCCCTTCCTTGGGCCTCAGTTTCCTCGGCTATGGACAGAAGGACTTGGCTCCCCCTGCTCTAAAGCTTAGCTACATAATCCAGCCTACATGTGCTTGGTGGGAGAGACTAGACTTCCCTCTACACTGTACATTTTTAAGTCACTGGGTTTAGGAAGCTGAAGAAGAGAAGGCACCAAAGTTGCCTGGAAGAGCTGAGAAGGGACAAGGAGTCAGATCTTGCCAGATATCATCTGCAGAGCTTCTTGGGGTGGCAGCTGAGTAAAGGATAGAGGCACCAGGCAGTGGGTCACAGAGGAGGGAAGTCTGGCTTGCCCTGAGGGAAAGGGCTGAGTGTGAAACCACAGAGTTATAGAGCAGCTCCTGGCAATTTCTTCACCTTTCACCAGGTACTCATCGTTATGGACCTCAGGCAGGCACCAAAGGACCCACAAGCCACTGCAGAGGACCCGGAGCTGCCCTTCTCCCAGAAGCGGGGTGGGGTGGGTAGAAAGATTCCTTAGCATCCAAGCAACTTGCTTTTGAATCCAGGCTCTGCCCAGCCCCTCCCTCCCAGCCACCTTGAGGAAGCTATTTGCTTCCAAAGGTTTTAAAAAGGGAGTGCCGTCCTACCTCTCAGGATCATGTGGCAGTAAAGGGCTTTAGCACGTTTACTTGGTGCACAGTACAAGGGGTTGCTCTAACTGCTGTTGCTACTGTGGTGCCCTGGCGTCCAGACCTGTGCACACATGAGCACATGCAAAGTGGGCAGCAGACAGAAAGACTTACTTACCCTCCCTTTGTGAAGAATATGGGTAGGGAGGGACCAAGGTAGGAGAAAGAAGGGAGCAGAGAGCCTTTTCCAGCCTCCTGGTGTCATCTCACTGTGCCTCACTCAGGGGGGCAGGAGAGGGAAGTGGGAAAGGGGGTATTTAGATGCATTTGGTTCTTGCTGTCTCACAGAACCAGCCTCTCCCTGACAAGATTCCTCTATAATAGCAGGGAGTATAGTCTCAGGCACCCCAATCACAAGGCCAACACAAGCCCGAGGATTGGGACCTTTCCCAGGTCACAGGGAGCTCACTGACACTCATGTCTAGAGTGTAGACAGATGGCCATGTTCATTCCATCTTTACCATGCCTTATGGGTGGAGAAGTGTCGTTCACACCAGGCCCCACTGGGATGGCATGGCACCTGCCAACGTCACAGGCTGGGTGTGAGTTCATGGCAGATTCTCACACACCAGCTCCCAAGCTCAGGACTGCTAAGGCCAGCCTTGCCTGTGTGTGGCCAGCCCAATGAACACAGGCTTTCATCAATTTAGCCTCCCAGGGTATGGTGGGGGCCCAGGGTGCAGACTGGGGAAGGGGGTTGAATCTGGTCTCCTCCAGGTCCCAGCCAACTCAGGGCCTGGCATCAGAGCAGATGCTGGTGAATGAATGCCTGGATGGATGAATGAAGAAATGACTAACACCCACTCCCTTAGATCCTCTGGCTATAGCACTGAGCTTGCAGGAGATCAGAGCCCTTGGGACCCTAGCAGAGGCCCCACCTGCTTAGCCTGGCACCTAGGCTCTGCCTCAGGTCCGGTGGGGGGGGCGGGGCGGCTCCGCAGCGAAGGAGTACCCCTCCTGCGGCCCGGACCAGGATTCCGGGTCTCCCTACCCAGCTGGCAGCCAGGTCAGGTGGGAGGCGGGGGGGGGGGCGCGGGTGTCGCATCCAGGATACAGAGTGACAAGACAAGGGGGCGCGTCCTGGTTTGCGTGGCGGGGCGTAGGATGGATCGGTGGCCATGGGACATCTTCTTTGGGTCCCGGTGCAGGGGTCTACTCACGGGCCTCCCTGAGAGCAGAGACAGCTCCCAACTGCCAGACTGGACATGGGAGCCGCAGACCTGACCCTCTAGTGCTGGGCGAGCAGGATGCCGTGTCCCGCGAGGTGACTGGGGGCGCGAGAAGGACGCGGGGTGCGCGGAGCCCCCATATGCAAGCCTGGGGGTCTGGCCCGGTCGCCGCGGTACCTGTGCCCCCGCCCACCTGGCGAGGGGCTCACCTGGGCCGAGGGTTCCCTCCCGCCACCCGCCGAGCGCCCCGCGCTGCGCTCACCTGCGCCGCCCGCCTTGGCCATGTCCCGGGCGGCCGGTTCTGCTGCGCTGCCGGCGCTGCTCGCTCCCGGCCGGGCCCGGGCACCTCCGGCCGGAGCGGACTCTCCGTGCGCGCCGCGCCCCGCGCCCCCGCCCCGCTTGCTCGGCCGCCGCCACCGCAGCCGCCGCCGACTCGCCTCTCCCTCCCGCTCCCTTAAAGGCGCCGAGCGGCGGCCGCGCCGCCCCCCCCCCGCGCCGCCGGGGAGGGACTGACGACGGAAGGCGCCCGACACCGCCCCCGCGGGCCCGCACCCCCGCCCAAGCCGCGCGGCCACCGCAGCGCACCGGGAGGCGCAGCTCACGGCCACCGAGACCCCGAGCCGCCAACGTAGAAAGACTAAGGTTCACAGCTCAGAGACCCTGAAAACTGGACAGGGATGGACACGGTCTGCGAGCCTGGGGCGCAGTGACCCTGAGACACTGAGCTAGAAGGAGACACTCCTACGGGTGAAACACCCTTGGGAGAGAGAGAATTTCAAGGAAATCGGAGCTGGTTAGAGCCAGTGAGAGGGACAGGGCGAGAGAAAAAAGACCAAGACTCAAGAGACGGAAAAACCTTGCAGAGATGAGAGACAGCAGGGGCTTCTGCATCAGCTCCAAATACCAGGTTGCAGGGTGCTTGGACCTTCTCTAGCCTCAACAGAAAGGGCTTTTATCCTTCAACACTAAAGGACCCTTAAACCTGCTAATCCCACCAGGCTGAGCAGGGCTTATAGGGGACCTGGTAGAAAGCAGTGATCCTTAACACTTTCTTCGTGGAAATGCAGACATTCTAGTTAACAGGCTTCCAGAGACATTTAAATTGTGGTTTCTGCCCAGTGCAGTCCGGGGATCCACAGGAGATGGCCAGTCATTTTAGATGGGGTCTAGAAGGTAGGTTACAGGAGAGAATAGTCTTCTCCCTAGGTCAGTCCTAAGCCAACTCTGTGAGCCCAGAGGATGTGGAGCCTGCCTGCTGCCTGGCTTCCTGATGCTGGATAGTGTGAGGGATAGGCTCTTGGGAGGGCTGTTGGGCCTCTCCTGAACCCTGCTTTTCTCCCACAGTCTGCAGCCAAGGACCCATCCTGTGCACCAGATAGTTCCACATGTGAGCCAGTAGGGCTTTAGTGTCACATCCACTGCCCCATTGAAACAAAGGTGCCTCCGTGGACATTTAGCCCATCATACACACACCCACTCCTGTTGATCAGCCTTTCTACTCCTCTTGATTCTGCAAAAGCAGTGGGCTCAGTACCTCGGGCAAGAGCTTTTCCAAAACTTCTGCACAGAGCAATAGCAAAAATGTCCTTCATCTGGGTGGAAGTCTGAATCCTGTACCTCCTACTCATGGGCCTCTCTCTACCTTCTGACACCTCATCCTCCAGACCAGGCTTTCCTAGGATCCTCTCTGCCACCATGCTTTGACAGGAATTGTCCTAGTTTTAGCTATGAAAGTCTCAAGAAACCCTTTAGTCCCAAGAACTCCAGACTCAGACAGCAACACAGACTCCTGTAGACATGGAAGTTCAGAAGAGAAGCCCTAAAGTCATGGATTCAAAGCTTTTTCACAGCTCATGCCACTGGCTACTAGCAGAGAGGGTGTGGACAACCCCAACCCACCCCTCACCCTGGAGTGCTCCTCCATCCTAGAACTACAGTGGATATTATGAATGAACAGTCTTTGTGTGGTTCTCTGTATGAACTTTAGTTAATTCCCGGTGTGCCCTCTGAGGGATATTGTATCATCCCAAGTTTACACAGAGGAAACAGGCTAAGAAAATTCACTGCTCATGGTCTTACAGAATTCCATTTCAGGCCTGTGTTCTATCCCTCTGGGTCTCCTTGTCCTCACACGCCCCCTGCGGCTGTGGGAGTTTCAGAGGCCTAGCAGCTTGTACAATGTCTTGATTTGGCCACCTGGTCTATAGGTACGTGAGTAGTGACAGTGGACACCACTGACTACAGAAGACATGATAAACCAGTCACAGAAGGGACACAGCTGGGCTTAAGAACCACCTTGGTTCTTGGCTCACAGCAGGAATAGTAACCGAAAACAATCCCTGTTTTTTTTTTTTTTTTTTTCCTGGCACAGTGAGGGTGTGGGGGGGGCACAGGCTCAAGTTCCTGCACGAGCACATATGCACATGCATGTACATGAGTGTATATGAATACCTGTGTGCGCATTCACTTATACACAGACCCAGGAAAACACACTGCTTACAGGTGATACTCCATAGAAACTCCTAAGACCCTCTTCTCTCTGGGTCTGGCCATCCCAAACCCTAGACCAGTGACCCTGGGGCAGGTGAGGATCATACAGGTAAGGTGCCAAGCAGATGGGTACTTGCAAAGTCATCTCACAGTCTACGCTCCCCATTCCATTCCTCATGTAGAATGACAATGGACCAGATTGGCCAGGTGAGAAAGCAGACTTCCTGACTCCCTTTAAGCCTTTCCTGCATCCCCAGCCAGTGAGAAGCTTCCTTGGAGGTGGGGCGGAGCCCAGCAGGGCTTGCTTGCATAGCCTGGCCTCTCATGCATCTTCTATGCACAGACCTGGAGTGATTGCCAAGGCAGTTTCTCTCTCAGCCCTGCCTTCAGACAGAGCAAACTCATCAGGACTCAAGGCCATTAGATTAACTGGTGGGAGTTAACTTCCAGCATCAGAAGAATTGTCCTTAATTGAAGAAAGGAATAACTAGCAATTTGCAGCAGCTGACCTCACTGCCTGGTGGAGGGAGGAGCCTGAGCCAGCAGTGTCTCCTAGGCCTCCATCTCCTAGTGGGAGAGTGCCTGGGTAAGAGCTTCCTTCTCAGTTCACAGTGCTTCTGCCATCATAGTGGCCAGCCCACTCTCCAGCCCAGGAAAATATTAAATTCTGGAGAACTGGGAAAAGAGAACAGGGCCCAGCCCATGCTCAGGCTCAGATGTGGTCCAAATGGCAGAGTTCCGGGCAGGTGGGCAGGTGTCAAGATGATTCCTCAACTAGCCAGACCCCAGGCCTGAATATCAGTCCTAGAGAAATGGTATTCAAGTCTTTGGAATGATAAGCAAGAACTGGGAGCCAGTGTGACTACAAGGAAAGTTGGCTGGGTCCAGCTCACTTGCTTTCTGGTCTTGGCTATAAATGCTGGTAGAGTTGAGCATGACCATACCATCTGGGCTTGGGCACAGCTTCTGCTCAACAGTCCAATGGTGAACAACACAGTGAGCCACGGGCAAGAGGATAACCTGATCACATGATATGACTCTGTCACTCTGGGATGGACTCCAGTGGAAGGTGGCCTTGGAGTCCATCTCGCCTGTTAGCAAATGTGTACTCAACCAAGAAGCAGATTGCCATCTGGCAGGTACATGGCGACTCACAGTGGTCTTCGCAGCTGGGCTATGAGCCACAGCCAAGAGGATGAGATACACAAGGACTAAGAAGCATATCTAGTCCTGGTACCCTTTTCTCCAAGTCTCTCCCAAGCTCCAGGCTTCTGTTCTCACTCTGGGTTTCCACAGCCCTTTTTCTAGTCTCCCTGCTGTGACTTTGTTATCCTAGCACATTGTTATCCCAGGGCCACTGGCAGCTCCATTCCTTCCAGAGGAGTCTTCAGGCTGCCTTTTGGCCCTTGTCAGTTACTCCTTACTACACACTTCCAAGTCCCTCAATTGTCATCCACGCCTGTTGGTTCCCCTCCAGTCACAGAATGGCCCCAGACTGAATTGCTCCTTGGGACTCCTAGAAGAGTTCTGAGAGTAACTACCCAGTTATGTGTGCATCCATCGCCTAACCCTCCAGGCAGATGCTATAAAGAAGGGCTGTGGCACCCAGGGGCTCCTGAAGAAGCAGGAAGATTCCCTTAATGTCAACCCTGAGATCCCAGGGTGTGAGGATCGCAGACAAGACAGGCCCCTACCTCACAGACCAGGCTGAAAGCACTTTCTTCTCATCAGTGGGTTTCTTCATGCTGTTCTCACTGGAGTGAGCTGTGGGCACTAGAAGCCACGTGTGCACATTGTTTCTCGGTATGTTCCAAAGATCCTGGCAACAACCTACTGAATCTGTGGAACTGGCAAATGTGGGTATCATCCTAAGAGTTTAAGGACAGCTGGAAGGAAGGAAGAAGTAAGAAAAGAAGGGAGGAAGAAAGGGAAAAGGAAGGAAGAAAAACCACACTGAGCTGAACTTTGTCAGGTTTGTGGGGCTAGAGTGATGGTTCAGCAGTTAAAAAAGCATTTGATGCTCTTTCAGAGGACCCAGATTAGCTTCCCAGCACCCACACAGTGGCTCACAAACTATAATTCCAGTTCCAGGGAACCTGGTGTCCTCTTCTGGTCTTTGTGAGCACCATATATACACATGGTGCATGTATATACCTGCAGGCAAAACACTTGTACACATGACATAAAATAACAAATGTAAAAAACTTTTATTATTATTATCATCATCATTATTATTATTATGGCATATGCCACACATACTATATTGAACATGTGGAGGCAATTCTTTCCTACCTTCATGTGGGGTCTGAGGATCAAACTCAGGTCATCCAGCTTATACAGCCAGCATCCAGTAATAGGTGAACCATCTTTACCTGCCACTTTTTCAGAAACTGTGTTGTGTTGCACCTTCGTGGACTTCCATCTTACAGAATGGGTGGTGCTGCTAGATAAGATTTTGGAGAGGAGGTATCAAGAGCTGATGAGTAAGTTTTTCAAGAAAAGAGGGTGTCGGGGAGGCAGGGGGAGACAACGCAGCTCTAAGCTGAAGAATGTTAGGGAGACAGCATACTCACGCATGGACTTCTGGCTCTGCCAGGACCCCTCTTCTCTGCCCATAGAAAGGACACCCACAGTTTTACCCCCTTGTGTTTTTCTGCAGATGGGCCTGTGCTTTGCATTTGTTTAAGGTCCAGACTGTTAAAATTGGCCCCAGGCAAGTCCTGTTATTTTCAAATTATACTTGGTGATGGCTAAAAATCTAAAACTCTCAGAGGCATTGGGTTTCCACTCTGCACTCCTGGGAAGTGACTGCCTGGCAGCATAGGGTGCTGCAATCAGCACTTCAGGTGTTCTGACATCACAGTTTTCCCACCCCTGTCCTATCTCACACACACACACACACACACACACACACACACCCATTTATTTATTATGAATTCTAGAATGCAGAAATTCAAACACAGTTGTAGATAACAAGGTACTGAAGAAACAAT